CGCTCCCTAGCCGCTGAGACAGCTTTTGTCCAGGGACATGCTCCTACATAAACTGCCCAATCCCAAGTGGTCAGACCTGGGCACGAGCTCACACTGGCAAGGCCACACTCAGCAGGGTGTATACACACATGTATACATATGCAACAATGACAATTTAAAAATAAGAAGCTGTGACTGTGAATGAAGGGAGGATATAACAGGAGTTATGGGAGGGACATAAACAATATAGCAGACTCATACACAAATTTCTCAAAATTTTTAATTTAAAAACACTATTATCTGGAAATTGTGCTGAATAATTTTTTTGAATGATGCTATGGATAGCACAGGGGACCACAAGTCAACTTGTGGGGCAAATTAGCATTTTATACATATAAAATATAAATGAAAATAACTAAAATATCATTTCTTAAACTAAAGCATCGCCATGATCAAGATAAGGGGAAAATACATTTACCTCATTTCTTCCCACTTGGGTTTCTGACATAGTGGGTTAGTGGTGACATGCAGTTTCCTGGAACGTTCACAAGCTACAGCCTGAAAAGTATTGGCCCTCAGTGGGACAGAAGGAGCAACTGAAACAACACTTCTGCACTAAAGACTTAATATTTCGAACTCTAGAAGAGGGAAGTGGAGAACACAGGTGCTGATGAGGGAAGCCAAGAGAGGGAGATGAGGTGGGAATATAAACCTAACAGAGAAAGGAGTGGAGGGAAGGGCGATACATAACACTGAGGATGTTTCCTTAAAGCCACAGGTAAACGTTGTTTTATGTCTAATTAAATATATACGCCGGGTGGTGATGCATGCCTTTAATCCCAGCACTCAGGAGACAGAGACAGGTGAATCTCTCTGAGTTTGAGGCTAGCCTGGGCTACAGAGCGAGTTCCCAGACAGGCTTTAAAGCTACAGAGAAACAGTGTCTTGAAAAACAAAAACCAAAATAAAAAAATAAAAAATAAAAATCCACATATACTGTACATAAATGTGCATTGTACATGTATATAAACACTCATACAGCTTGAATGAAGTTACGACACAGGGTGATAATGCCTCTTGCAAGAGACACAGACTGTCAAACAAAAACTGCAGAGTCAAGTGAGGGGAATCTCCCATCTAGTCCCTTGCTAAAGTGAAAGAAATGCCCCCCAAACAATACAGGTTATTGCTTTTGCCCCTGGCTGCCTCCCAGAACCTCAACATCAGACCCAACTGCTGAAGACACCACACACCTAAGAAATAGGAATTGGAGGAACTCAGTTGGTACTGACCCCGAAATCTCCCAGACTCTCAAGTACGCTAAGATGTGGTGCAAGCTGCCAAGGAATAAAAGCAATCAATGGTCCTCCTCGACTGTGATACCTACCAACCACAACTTGGCCAACAGGGCAGGATATCCCCAGGGGGAAATAGTGGCACTTACAACTGAGAGATGTTTAAATAAGACTTTCTAATGGGATTTAAGGCTAACTCAATAGAAGGAAATTATGCCTGGTATTATAAACCTAGCCAAGGTGCTTAGTTGATGAGGTCGTGGACTCTAGAGGAGAACCTACGGCTGCTACTTTTCATCAACCGGCACAATTCCTAACCACATCATAAATACCCTTCTGCCCAGAGGGAGGTGCCGCTCTCACCCTCACCAAAGAAGCTCCTTTTCGCAGCAGATGGGGATCTTGTTAGAGAAACCCAGTCTTGATGTAGGTGGGCTTCTGTCTATGTGTTATTTTCATTGGTTAATAAAGAGACTGCCTTGGCCCTTTGATAGGACAGAAAATTAGGTAGGCGGAGTAAACAGAACAGAATGCTGGGAAGAGGGCAATGAGGCAGATGCCATGGAGAAAGTCATCAGGTCAGACATGCTGAATCTTTTCCGGTAAGCCACCACCTCTTGGTGCTACACAGATTATTAGAAAAGGGTTAATCAAGAGGTGAGAGTTAGTCAGTAACTAACTCTCTAGAGATAATGGGCCAGGCAGTGTTTAAATGAATACAACTTGTGTGTTGTTATTTCTGGGGCTAAGCTAGCTGTGCGGGAACCGGGCGGGATGAAAAGCAGGCCTGCCCGCAGTTCCTCACTACACAGTCTGTCAAAATGCGGAGAGTCAGCCGACTGTGGGGTGTGTAGCCCATCTACAATACACCCCCTAACCTAAGGCTCAGGGACCATCTCAGAAGCGGAGCTGGAAAGAACAGAAGCACCAGAGGACCAGGACATCCGCTGGGAGACAGTGTCTTCAGTACATGACGAGGAAGCTGTACTCACAATGACACCACTGGGTGGCATGCCAATGTGGATGGAGAAAATATCACAAGGCGCCATCCCCAGATGCAGAAATACGGGCCATTAGTGGCGGCTCAACAGGAAGAATCAGTGTTCTCCAGGGATGAGCCTCCTGATGACCTGTCTAACCCGAAGCAATCAGCCCTAAAAATATACAGTTACAAGCAACACCAAATGGACTCAGCAGTCTATATTGATATATACACACATGTGTATAAAATAATTATGAAAAGAAGTCATGGATTTGAGACACAGGGTGAGTGGGGCTGAAATGATATAAAGTTCCTATGTACGAAATACTCAAAATTTAAAAATTACTAAGGGCAATAGAAGGAGACGTTTTCTCCAGCAACTCAGACAGTCAGAACTTATTCTCAAAGGGAGAATGCAGATGGACTGTTAATCCCAAACTCAGGGTGTGGGGGCAAGAGGATGTGGAGCTTCAAGCCAGCCTGCCTATGAAGGGAGACCATGTCTCAAAGCAAAACCAAAAATGAAAAATAAAATTTGGTTTCACTATAACAAAACTGGTTCCTGCCAGGCAATGGTGACACATATCTGTAATCTTAGCGGTGGAGAGCCTCAAACAGGAGGATTCCTGTGAGCCTGAGGCCACTCTGGGTTTATGTGGCAAAATCCTATCTCAGAAACACAAAATCAAACAGATTAGTCTGTACTGCTCAGGGAGGAGGTGCAGGGACAAAGAAGCAATGCACGTTAGCTTGCTCACATTTGGCAACCCAAACATAAACACGAGTCTTAGATTTTCAACAACAGTTAGTTTGCTTGTATCTTTTGGTCATCTAAACCTAGACTAAAGCAAGGAAGTGACCAGAAAAAACACCCACCCTAAATAAAGAAAAATTTCCCCAGGAAACCTTTATCCCAGATTTCCTTCCTGTCTCACTAAAACCACTCCCTACCCTATTTGCAACCAATTCCACCTGTGAATTCCCTCCGCCTCACACACAGGCCCAGTTGAGGCTCTGATTAACTACCTCAACTCTCTTTCCTGCAAATGTCTCTCCTACGGAGGCCACAGCTTGGCACTTACAGATTAACTGTGCACCAGCACGATTATCACAATAGATAATAGACAGTAGGTAGGTAGGTAGGTCTCTCACAACAAAATCTATGTGTATCACAATAAATGTATTTATCAAAACATGTTTGGGGCCAGAAACTCATGTTCATTTTCATAAAAGCTAGCCTCGCTCTAACTTGTTCTAATAACTCAAGGCCTTGGCTAAAGGAGTTGGGGGTCTACCCTTACGAAAGAAAAATAAAGGCAATCACTAATGAGGCAAAACTTCTCATTCTGACCAGCAAGTTGCTGGGTAGGCTACAACCTCAGAGTTAGGCTTTGTTCAGACACTAGTTAACGTCACTGTAGGGGAGTCGTTAACTTTGCAACATAAGGTTTAATTTCTAAACGCATGTCTCATTTCTATAAGCTGTTGGGGTGAAGCTGAGAAATACTTTCTGATTGTTTTGGTCTCATAACTTGGAAAAGAGATGAAATACATTCTTTAACTTTTTTAAATGCACTATTAAAATGATGTGTGGATATGTGTGCCGCGGTGGTATGTGCCTGTCAGAGGGCAGGGTATGGAGTGGGTCTCTCCTTTTGCCTTTACACGGGTTCTCAGGACTGACCTGGGCTGTCAGACTTGGGTGGCAAGCACTGTAACCTGCTGAGCCAGCTCCCTGGTTTACATGTAAATAAAGGAATAACTGTGAAGTCATATGCACATTAGCATCTATGTGGTTTATATAAACATAGTCAAGTTAATTACACAAACCAAAGAGAAAGGAGAATGGCCATTATCTCTCTGTTGTTCCAATGATGTTCTTTTATTTTTTTTTTTCTTTCAAGACTTTTCTAAAATGGAGTTGGCAAGACAGCTCAAGGTATATAAGGGTACTTGCCACCAGGTCAGACAACCTGAGTACAATCCTGCCTGGTGGAAAGAAAAAACTGATTTCTTAATGTTGTCATGAATCTCCACAAACATGCTATATGACACACAGGTAAATGTACACACACACACACACATACATAATAATAATAAATGTAGAAAAGTATGTTTCTGGCATCAACAACAATAACAAAGTAAACCACAACCCATGAGATTCTATCTTGTGTTAATTTCTTAAGATGGTCTCACTGGATAGCCTAGACTGGTCCTAGATTCACTACAGAACCCAGCCTGACTCCAGCTGCCTCAAGTTCATGGCTTTCACCCTCCCTCAGCCTCCCAAATGCTGGGACTACAGATGTCTACTGGCCACTGTATTGGCCAGTAGAATTTTTAAATTATCAGATATCTTAGCAAGAATATAAGCTGCAACAATATTATTTAATGGTACCTTTGAAATGCCGGTGGCTATACTAAACAAGTATCTGTTACATGCCTTACTGTCTTATGTCATACACTCAGCATCATTTTCAAGGCCTTCACACTGGCAGTTTTTAAACTATTATAAAACAGAAAAGTCTGGGGTACTTCTAGTAATAAAAGAAAAAGCAGGCAAGGTATTTGTGATGGCTAAATAAAAATATCTTCTCTAAAACAGTAACTGACAATTAAGTTACTTAGAATAGAAAAAAAAGTTTTCTTTAAAAAAAAAAAACTTCCTCAGGAGGCTTTCAAACAGCTTAAACCATTTGCAAACCACAGTTTCATCTACGTCAATCTGTAACATTTTAAAACCACACAAAAAGGAAAGGAAATTTTTAGTTCAGCAGACAACCCTGCAAAATGGGACTGCCATCACCCCGGCTAACCAAACAGCTCATGCTTCTCTGAAGACCCGGACCCAGGCTGGCTCAGAGGACACCAGCAGGTAAGTCCTTTTCAATGGCTAGCTAATTCAGTTTTTCCCGTGGGAACCAAAGTCGTGATTTTCAGTGTTGGACTCCTATCAGCATTTTCTGTTCTCGTTTGGCCTCATCTGTCTTTAAATTAAAAAAATAAAAAACTATTCAAATTAGACCAATTATCCAGGCAAGGATAGCCTGAGCTAGTCACTTTTCTAACTAGATCTATATGGGATGCCATGGTGAATCTTCCCAACAGGTCATGACCAGAAGACATTCTTCTACCAGTCCTACATTAGCAAACTTCAAAGCATGTCTACCATGGCTCCCATGGAGAATCTACTACGTTCTGTTCTGTTTTGTTTTTTTCCCCTAAGGAATGAGCCACCTATGAGAAGGAGCCAAGGAGACATTTAATTTCCATTCTGGATTTTGCTAGAACATAGCTGAGTATGCCTACTTTGCAGATACCACTGCCACAAAGTTTATCAAGCTCTTGGATCTCCGATTTGTGATAGAGAGCCTGGGATGTTGTTAGAATACAATTCTGCCTACTGTATCAACATATGCTAAGTTCTGAGAAACTGTTGTTTCATGGCATTCTAGACACAGTTAAGAAGCAAAGGTACTAGGGACTCTTCAGCGTTAGTTTACATTGTAACTATTTGAAGTAAGTTACCCCACTCTGGAAGAGATGGTCAGTTATAAATACAGAGAATACCAATCAAGACAAATTATTGTAATTCTTCTCTTGACCATATGTCTTACTGATAAAACGAGAGCTTGCCATACAGTTATTCAAGCAATAGGCCACTTACAGAAAAAAGTTACTATTTTCTATCATTATGCAACATCAGAAATGCCTATAAGGAAGTCAGAGAAGCCTAGCGTGAATTCAGACATGAAGAGTCTCCCACAGGTTATAGGCAGGACTCACAAAGAGGAAGGAGAGAGGCTCAGAGTCCAGAGAATGATCAGCCGAGTACAGATCCTCATCTTGCTCCAATAAGCTGCGGAAATCCTGGGCACTTTGCAGTCTCCTCAATTGATTTGAGGACAGAAAAGAACCCACCCATCAATAAAGTGCCACAATTCTAAAGTTCTACCACATGCTTAGGTATAGAGATGGGTAGAACTTATTCACAGGTAGTGCAGACTCAAACAATCTAAATTGAGACTCGGGATTAAGGGAGGGAGACGTATAGATCAGTGGAAAATTGCATGCTACATATACAGGAGCCTTGAGTTCAAACCCAGCACTGAAAACAAAGACAGACACCAGGGATATTAAGGGAATATTCAGTCATGGTAACTTTGACAGTGTACAGAAATTTCACAAAAGACCTAAAGTGATATTTCAAATGTATGTGTGTTTGTGCGTGTATAAACACATATAAATGTGTGTATACAGGCATATGTGTGTAAACGCACACACAGTAAGATTACACTGCAAAACACATGGAATGTCTATTCTTCTCTTATTACTAGAGTGCTTGGGAGGAGAGTTAAAACTAAGAAGTTTACTGCAGCTGTTTTCTGTGAAAACATCTGAGAATATTCCTGCCACATAACCCTCAGGTAAGTATTGGTTTTTAGAGCACTGATCATTAACATTAGAACCATCACTGACATCACTATGGCTTCTAAAATATGACTGAGTCTAAAATATGACTGAGTCTAAAATATGACTTGGCTCTGGAATTTGCTAGCTCTCCAAGCAATGGATTTTAGCTTGGTATACCTCAGATTATAGCAGCCACACAACAGGATTCATAAAATGTACTATAAAAAGTTGGCTGTTCACCTTTAAAGACCTGTATGGATGAGGGAGGACTTCCCAAGGGGCAGGGAACCCTGACTGCTCATAAGACTAGAGAGGGAGGGGGAGGTGGGGAGGGGGAGGGAAAAGGGAGGCGGGGAAGAGGTGGAAATTTTTAATAAATAAATAAATTTTTAAAAAGTGGGTAGTCATCAAAAACACAAAGTAAATGCTTTAACATTTTCATTAAGGTTAGTTGGTACAAAATGACAGTACCAGTGAACCCCAAAAGCCCCAAGTCCTGTGGGGAAAAGGGAAGAGCGTGTAGCCTTTAAGCAACACTTAAGACAGTTAGACAGACATCTCCCTTATCAACTTACTTGCAACCATTGCATCATCCCAAGATAAACACAGCAGGGCCATCAGATGGCTCAGGAGTGAAGGTGCAAACTGGGTGCATGAGTGAACCTAAGTTCCAGAGCAGAATTCCCGAGAAGTGGAAGGAGAAAACGGACTCCACAGAGTTGTCTGCCACAGACCTCCACACGCACGCCAAGGCGCACCCACACTCGTACATCATGAACAAGCATAACAATAATAACAAATTTTTAAAAATGACACATTATATCATTAACTATTTTGAGATGTTAAAGTTGAACAGTTGTTTGAAGTTGCTTGATTTAAAGAGGGTTTTATGGCTGCTGAGTCAGTCACTATTGTCAGTCACTGACCTCTCAGTATCCTGCAACGTTACACGTGACTTTGCTCCTGATAAAACTCGGAGACTGAGAAGCCCAGGTTTTATTTTACACTGTCTGATTTCTGGGACGTTCAGAAAATTCCACGTAGATTTGCTTGATGAAAGTGATATTTTTGGCTTCACTTAAAAAGGAATATTAGTTAATATGAAAATGGATTGCCCACATCAAGAGGCATCACATAATACACCACGTGTGTTTAAACATGGAGCGAGACTTGACCACACCAGAGGGAGCTCAGTCTAACTTGAGTCCGTAAGTCAAGCCAGTATGCACTACCTGGAAGGAGCATGACAAAATTTTATTGTCGTATCAGGCTCAATTGTGGTGGTTCTCTACTGTGGAAGTTAGAAGGGGCTTTTGCTCCCTTTTGCTTTAGGTTGAGGCAAGGTCTCATGTATACCAGGTTAGCCTTGCCATTTAGCCAAGAATGAGCTTAAACTAGTGTTCCTCCTGAGTGACGGGATTATAAATGAGTCTCAGCAGGTCCAATCAACATATACGTTTTAACACAGATAGATACAACTGACCCATTCTTGAAAAATGCTGTAACCAATATAGGCCCACGTTCTAGAAGCTTTTAGATTCACTTCCACAGACCTACTAAAAACACTTCATAGAGAAAGTTACAGCCATTATGGTCAACAAAGTACTTGCCAAACTCCAACAATACAACGTTTCCTATTAGAATTTTTAAAAGTAAAAAGAAACCGAAGAAAGTAATTTCATTAACATAAGAAGCAGAATATAACAAAATATATCTGATGGGTACTCAGAGTTAAAAATGACAACTGAATTCAATCTGGAAGATGTTCAACATGTACAGTGTTCACCAGGCACACACGGCTGGAGGCCACAAGGCTGGCTTTACAGGTCTATACCATTATGAAACCGGAACACGATGAGAGATAGTAGGCATCAATTCAGAACCAGAGTCCGACCCTTCAACTCCTGCCACTGAAAATAAGAGACAAAATTTTATTTCTAAAAATCTATTAAACGGATTCAAAACACAGGACCTGCTTTCAAAATAACAATATAAAACCTTTCTGCTATTTACTGTCATCTCTTCTCTCCAACCAGGCTAGGTTCTGGCAGCATAAGCTACAAAACCTACAAAAAGAAAACAGAAAGCCACACCGAAATATTTTTCAGACAAAACCACAGCACCTTCCTCTCTCCACTTCCCAGAACCCTCTGGTCACTTACCTCCTCTGCAAAGAAATTTCACCCTCAACTGGTCGCAGACAGCATACAACACAAACCCACAAGGTCAAAAACATCCCTTCCTAAAAGCAAATTTACTTGGGATTTCCTGAAAGTCATAGAAATCAGACAACGGAGAATACGGAATGATGTAAGCTGTTCCCACCAGCCCAGTGAAAGTCTTCCTAAGAACTAGGAAGACCATGACATTTTGAGTACAAATGTTTTTTAAGGAAAGTATTTTCTAATTTCAGTTACTAACATCTCCTTTCTACTCTTTCTAACAGAGCCGTGGATGGTTATTTTTAAATACTGAAGTCAAGCTTCCCCCTGAAGATGACAAATAGCTCACTCTTCTGTCCGGTTTACAGCGATCTGGAACCATTTACATATTTTTTTTATTTAGTTTTCCTCATTGGAATCATTGGAAGCTGTTTTGCAACATGGGCTTTTATACAGAAAACCACAAATCACAGGTGTGTGAGCATATACTTAATCAATCTGCTCACAGCTGATTTCCTGCTCACGCTGGCACTGCCAGTAAAAATTGTTGTTGACTTGGGCGTGGCACCCTGGAAGCTAAAGATATTCCACTGCCAAGTAACAGCCTGCCTCATCTACATCAATATGTACCTCTCCATTATCTTCTTAGCCTTTGTCAGCATTGACCGCTGCCTTCAGTTAACACACAGCTGCAAAATATACCGAATACAAGAACCTGGATTTGCCAAGATGATATCGACTGTCGTGTGGCTCATGGTCCTTCTCATAATGGTGCCGAACATGTTGATTCCCATCAAGGACATCAAAGAAAAGTCAAGCGTAGGCTGCATGGAGTTCAAAAAGGAGTTTGGAAGAAACTGGCATCTGCTGACAAATTTCATCTGTGTGGCAATATTCTTAAATTTCTCAGCCATCATTTTAATATCCAACTTCCTTGTGATTCGGCAGCTCTACAGAAACAGAGACGACGCAGACTGTGCAAACGTGAAGACGGCTCTAACCAGCATTCTCTTGGTGACAGTGAGTTACATCATCTGCTTTGTTCCTTACCACGCCGTCAGGATCCCGTACACCCTCAGCCAGACAGAGGTCATATCCGATTGCTCAACAAGGATCTCCCTCTTCAAAGCCAAAGAGGCCACACTGCTCCTGGCTGTGTCCAATTTGTGTTTCGATCCACTACTGTACTATCATCTCTCAAACGCATTTCGACTGAAGGTCGCTGAGACGTTTGCCTCACCTAAAAAGGCTAAGGCTCAGAAAGAAAACTCCAGATGTGAAAGTGATGTGTGAAACACGGGGTTTCGCACATCAGCCCTGCTTTCTGGCTGAATCACAAAGCTGGTCACAGTTTTCAAAGATAAAAAAGATAGTTAATAATAAAAGTCGCTGATGGCTAGCAAACATGGACTGGTTCCTGGGGGAAGCCCTGTTCTCAATACAAGCCTGCCCTGGATTCACACAGTTGCTGGTATTCTTTAGCCCAAATATCTGCGCAGGAAAGTTACCCGAGCATGTTGAACCAAGGTCAATCTGGATGACCAAAGTGAGGAGAGCCATGGCAGAGACTCTGAGACTCATTGCAATGGCTGCAACTCACTTCTTGATGAAAACATACCAAATAATCTGCATCTAAGCTGCCAGGAAACCCGTCAGCAACACAACCTTAAAGGTCTTCCGCAACCTAAAAAATAAAGACATCAAAATACCCGCATTGTCTTCATTTTTATCCTACCGTTTGAAAGTTAGTAGACTATTCAGTAGTCCTACTTGTAACGTCTGATTTTCTGCAACAGTAACAACTTTTAGTTATAAAAAGTTAACAGTGACAGGAACTGGGATCACAGTGGTTAATTCCACACCCAGGAGGTTGAGGCAAAAGGATTGTTATGAGTTTGAGACTAGCATGGGCTAGTGAATTGCAGGCCATCCTGGCCTATACAATAAGACCTTATTTCTAATTAATTTTAAGAGGGAGTGACAAATACATGGGGTATGTTTTTTAAGAACACAAGGAAGCTGTTAAATTATGTTAATTGTTGAAACTGTTTTGGAAGTGAAAATCCACATCAAAGGTATTAGAAAAATAAGACTAGCCAAAAAAATCTTAAAATAGAGACAAAGACTCATCACTAGGCCATGCTAGGAGCATAGCCTAGATTAGGTCATGGTACCCCTCAAATCTAGACACACGGCCAATCAGAAAGAACCTGCAGTACAAAGGACAAGTCACTCCAGCTGTGAGCACATCCTCTCCATCACTAATACATACCCAGGTGAGGCATGGCATTGAATAAACTTACTAGGAAAATCAGAAAAGTACTGATCAGCATGAATGAGGTTTGAGTTTGTGTTTTTGTTTAGTTCACTCTCTCTTCTTTGGTGTGTGTGTGTGTGTGTGTGTGTGTGTGTGTGTGTGTGTGTGTGTGTATGTGTTGGGGGTAAGGGGTGGGAAGGACACCATGATCTCCTACAGCTTGCATTGTAGCACTGAGATCATTATGTAGTCACAAATAATCTTAAACTCCTGCTCTTCCTCTGTCTACCTCCCAAGTTCCAGGATTACAGATATGTGCTACCAAAAGCAGCTCTTCTGTGTGTATTTGTAACAGTACAAGAAACCCACATAAAATAGTTAATAATGGGTTAGAGAGACAGCTCAGCAGCTAAAAGCATTGGTTAGTCTTGCAGAGGACTCAGGTTCAGTCCCCAGCACCCCATATCAGGAGGTTCACAATTGCTTGTAACTCCACTTGCAGATCCAAAACCCTCTTTTCGCCTCCAATGGTACCAGGTATACACATGTATACACATGCATACATGCAAGCACTCACACATATGCACATCAAATAAATGAATCTAGGAAGGAAGGAAGGAGGGAGGGAGGGAGGGGGGGGAGGA